AATGTCGAATCTTTCAAGAGAAGGCTAGATGAATGCTGGGCAGTGGTATTCCCTGAAGTTGAGTGTTGAAAGTTAATCGTTAGGCTATCGTCGCTATCAACAGGCTGTGTACTGGCATCATGAGACTGGATAAGTGCTTCCCTCCGGAGAATATCCATCATACGAGATTTGCTTTCCGCATCCACATAGCGATTGCGCATCGCACTCATACAACAGTCACGGTAGAAGGATTCTGAGCATTGATTGTGTTTTGGCGCTTTGTAACAAACTAAAGAGCAATAGTTTATTCCACAACGGGGGCAAATATAAGATGATCTGGCTTGACAGATAACACAGATGTGACACGTTGTTGGCTCTTGCATAATTGAGGGTGAGCTAAAGCACAAAGAATAGCAAAGAAAGGGTTGTGATATGGAGTAAGATGTAAAGAATAATACCAAATGCGTAGAAACAATGCATATTACATTGATTACAAATAGTTTGTTTTTCCTACAGTTCAGTAGACATTGAAATTGTTGCAAGTGGGTATTAGTAATGGTCGATAGGGTGCGTTGTGGTATGATGACTGGTGTATTTAATGAACAACAGGCTAGAATGGTAGATACAACCACAATGGTGTAATATGCTTTGCTCGTGTGTGCTGCATGATGGTTCCCGTGAACGGATGCACCAAACACCCGAATTCAGGTCGAGTCTCGATGTGTGCTGACGGTTCGCTGCCATATCCTTCAGTGTCTCAAACTAACCAGTTGCAGTCTTTTGAAAGAAGAAGACTTGGAAGACGGGAGATACCTACTCTACCTAATCGCACTGTGCATTTCAGTTGCACAGGTGGATAAGCGCCTTTATCTCACAACGATCATTCTATGTGACGGTTGGTGAGAACAGGTCCTCACCAGTTCAGCTGACTAGCGGAGTTCCACAAGGCTCAGTATTAGGACCACTTCTATTTCTTCTATACATAAACGACTTACCAAGCACTCTGACATTATCCTGCTACATTTTTGCAGATGAAGTCAAAGTGATTGGTTCGAATGGGAGAAGTGATCTGTAGCGGGATTTAGAGCGGGTAGCTAGATGGGCAAAGGAGCGGGACCTAAGTGTTAAAGTTACCAAGAGTCATGTGCTCACAGAGGCACTTGACAGAATGGTAGTTTACTTGGAGGAGCATCAGTTCGCTATCGAACCCGCTACTAGTGTTAAGGAGTTAGGAGTAGTGGTATGGAACAATTTTAGGTGGTCTGATCAGTGTGCAATAGCAACGCGCAGGGATAGGGCCGAACTATTTGGACTACAGTCGGTTCTAACACGCTGAAGACCGGAAGTCTTCATTCCCGTTTACAAGGCCATAGTCAGACCACACCTAGAGTATT